CTCCCAATTGAGGATGCAACTTGGGAACCTTACTTGGATTTACAGAATAGATTTCCACATCTTGACCTTGAGGGCAAGGTCGCTTTCAAGGGAGGAGGGACTGTTGAGACACAAATAAAGGGAATACAAGTATACAAGAAAAGGCCACGCCAGCCTTTAAAGAATGTAACTAATAGCCAACCACTAGAACAAACTAACTAACAAACTGGACAAGTGGAGATGCGGGTATAACAGAATTGTAACAGCAGTATATAAATAAGGAAAGGAAGCTAGGAGGGGATTTATCGATTTGGGAATACAATCTCTCTCTCTCTCTCTCATTCAGGAGGCAGGCTCCCTCGAAAGAGTCCCTAAGTTAGGCAGTACCTAACAATGGTATTGCTAGAGTGGCCTCTAAGAATACCTCTTATACCGCTGGACCTTAATTTCCTATATAACACCTAGCAAAAAAATTTTTTGAGAAAATTTAACCAGAATTTATTAAGAGAGGGAGGAGGGGGGGGGGACAAGAGGAGATATACAAAGCAGGGGGGGAACCCCTACAAGTTACAAAGGAGGAAGCTTGTCGCTATACAGATGCTCCAAACACACACCAAATTTAGCTAGGCCATCTGCAGTATGATTGTGTTCCCTAGGAATCCAAACTAAGTTAACATTCAAACCATCCAAAGAATCCCAAGCTTCAGTCAGATAGTGATACTCACCTAGCAAAATTCGTTTTAGTCACTCCACTAACCAAAGCCTCCCAAGTTCCAAACTTCCCATGCTTGGATTACCTTTTTTTTGTGGGTATGATCAACCACCACTTGCCACCCCCTCAGAATTGAACCCATGAAAATACCCTTGAAATCCTTCCTTGTGAATATCCAATTAATTACTCTTACTATCACCAAATCAATAATGATGTTGACTTTATATTTTCTATGGTTGAAGAATCTAGACTTCCTCTCGCTACAAACTTACAATACTCCAAAATATTGCCGTTCTTGTGCATTTCCGCACGCTCTTCAGTCTGTGCTTAGAGGAACCAATCATAAGACTAACCAACCTCCAAGCCAATGAGCTGACCAGGAAAAAGACATTTCTCATGTGATAGATTTTACATCTCTTAAAACTTTTGAAGCTAAATCCCTTGAGTCATGGTTAATAGAGATTGGAGCAGGCCAAATTTCTCAGCTTCCTTCCTATTGTCATATAAGACACATGGAAATCTCTTACACTGCATTCTTGACAACTCAATAAAAGACCTCAGATTGTGCCCAATGTTTTAAAAGGTGCTGAAGGCAGATGGTGGAGGCGTGGAGACACTTAGGCATATGCCTCTATGGTGCTTTATGCAGGAAGCATACATCTAGATTGCTCTTACCTTTTAAGCTAGCTTTTTATAAAAAAAAAATATTATACGCAGAAGTGAGGGCACCGTTTTATCATGTTCCCAATTATACACTAATAAAATACAAAGGATGAAAGCCCTCCAAATTCATTTATTGTAATTACTCAATATGTTGGTCCCAGTTATCTGTGGTCTTGGGAGGGATAGACTGGACACAGTCCTAACCTTTAGCACTTTTTTTTGCCACAAAGTGGCAGCTCTCAGACTCGAACCCCCATTCTCATGTTTGCTAGCCAGAGATTTTACCACTACACCAATTAATGACCCCTTTATTGTAATATTATGATAAAATGCAATAACTTGAAGTAGAAATTGAGGCACCATAGTTTCGTTTTCTTTTAATGCATTCAATTCATTGGAATATAAGATGACACACTTGTTTATGTCAATGTTGTACAATTTATGTGAATTGTTAATTCTGAAATTTTCTTTTGCAACTTTAAAGTGATATATTGATGGCTGATGATACTGTTACTTATTAAAGAAAAAAAAATGCTTAATGCAGTGACATTTCACTAGTTCTTCACAAAACTTCCTATTTCTATGAGATATTTACTGTATTTTCATTTATTTTATATTGTTAACCTTTACCTCTTTCTCAAACGTGTACAATCTTGAACAGCTTAATTCTCCAAAAGAACCAGCTGCAATTAACCAGATGCCTCTTCACTAAACGATTTACTCAGGAACCTATCACCTGATTGGCTCTAGACTCTAGAGAAATATTTCCAATGGTGACTCCCTGTAGACATTAGATTCACAAATTCACAAAGCCCAACAATGGCTGGGAGACAAGGCCAAATCCTTTCCCTGCATAGAAGAAGGCATAAATTTTCCAAATATGCCATACTTCTGCCTAATGCATCTTATCTTCTACCTGGGATTTCTCCCCATCCACACTGAGCACCAACCCTTCACCAAGTTCTGAACTAGTTTTTGGGGTCGAGGAGGGCCACAGAAAAAAACCCACCATGGAATATGACATGCCCAGAATTGTCCTACAGCAGTATTGAACTGCTTAAATTTGGACCCTGAGGATGGTCTACAAGAGCTATAAAAGATCAATTTATCACTACCAGAAGAGAGTCTCCTATCCATTTCAAACTGTGTGAGAAGACTCCTCACAGAGCCCACTGGTTTATTAGACTCTTCTTTCTTAAAAGTCAAGGAGAATGTAACAGAAAAGTGAGAAAGAATCTAAGGATATCTATCTCCACTCAAGAGTTTTCCATTGAATACTTTCTAACTTTATGCATGCCAAATTTAAAAAGACAAATAAACTATGCTCAACTTTCAGAATATGCATCTCATCTGATGCTATGATTTATAATTTTTTTTTGTTGATAAGTAAAAGGAAAATTTATAATAAATTATAAATTATTAATTTATAATTTATAAGTTGTTCTATCGATTTATAATTAATTTATAATTTGTTCTATCAATTTGTTGAAAAGGTAAATTTGTACTGTGAAAATTTTGAGAGGAGAGAATCTATTCATTTATAATGTTACCGAATTTTAAAACCGAGAGCTTATAACACAACATATTTAAGTTCCACTTTCAAGTTAAAATTAAAGAACAGGAACATGCCTGCCATCCATGAGACCTGGTTGACCCATGAATCTGAGTAAGAAGGCCGCCCTGACCTGTAATTTAGTACTTGAGTAAATGAAGAAAAACAATCTGGATAAGAAACATATAACTTCCATACAAAGCTTTCCATGTACCTGCTTAGGCTTACAACTTCTATGCCCTTGGATACTGCAGCTTTGCATATTGCAGAACCAACAAAACCACTTCCTCCCAAAACTGCAATCTACTAAGGAGAACTTCATAGTGAGGTTTCAGATTTGCTAAGATGGATAAAATGAACGACATATTGGTAAAATAAGTGATTTTTTATAGGAAATAAAATAAAATAAGTGAAATTTGAAATGGTTCTATTTAGTGCAAACCCGTTCGGTCTTCACATCAGCCACAACATCTATTGGTGCAGCTGCATAGTCCTCATTTATGTATGACCCAGCATAATTGCAGCTTACACTGAACCTACACAAGCTATATGACAGAAGTGGAATACATTTTAGCAGGGAAGCATCAAAGTTACCATCCTTTTCAGTTTTATAACAATATACATATTAAAAAAAGGAAGAATAAGTGAAATGGGCAAGCAACCACCAACAATTTCAGCTGAACTGATCCCAACATGGTCAAGATATTCTATCTATCAAAAAATACATGGTCAAGATATTCTTTACCAAAAAAGAACATGGTCAAGATATTCCTGAATCCTGATGTGAAGGGGTTACAGGACAGGTCATAAAATCCACAAGGACCACAACACAGATGAGTATTCCTGCATAATAATTTGTCTTTTACTCAGGTAACACACATCAGTTTCCTTGTATTTGGAACTAAAGTTACTTAACCACTGCAATATACAACAAGACAAACACCAATAATCATCTATTCTCTAACCAACTGGAATCATCTTAGAGCTGTTATCTAAACTCAAACCAAGTCGTCAGAAACTCATCCAACTGTCCTAGTTGGAGGGCACAAATACAAGTAAAAGACTTTGTGGAAAGTGGAATGGAGAAAAGAATTGAGGAAGACAATGTGTTTTTGGTGTGGAGATGCAGAAATCACTAAGTAATATCTAAATCCATCAATATTGTTTTTTTTTTTTTGAAAAGGTAAGGTAATTTATTAAAACAAGAACCAGTACAAAGGAGCCTAGGCCATTAGAGGCTGCCTAGAGCCACCGCAAATTACAGATACATTCCGTTCTGAGATCTAAACAACAGACTCAAATTCTGATTTTTAATCACCTCCGTTGCCGACACCCAGGACAAGTTTACCCACAGCTTTCTGCACCATTTCCTCTGAAGATTTAGCTTTGCCCTGAAAAATTCTGTTATTTCTTTCAATCCAGATAGTCCAAAGCACAGCAGCCGGGATAGTCTTCCAAACCAAGATACCTTTCTTGCTGAGACCCTCAATCTGCCAACACAACAGCAGATCCTTCACAGAATTTGGCATTACCGAGCTGATTTCCAAAGCTTGAAGAAAATGCCTCCAAATATAATTCGAGACTGGGCAGTGTAAGGCCAGATGTTCAGTAGTTTCTACTACCCCACCACATAAGCCACATGACATGTCCGAAATCTGTATGCCACGTTTCACTCGATTAACTTTGGATAGACATTTATTTAAAGCCATTGTCCAGAGCAAAAACTTCACTTTAGAAGGACTGATTGAGCTCCAAATCTGCCCAGCCGGAAAGTTTTCCTGACCTGAACTTATCAACTTACTGAACATAGACTTTACAGAAAACCTGCCATCAGCTTCCCATTTCCATCTCCAAGCATCCTCCATGTTTGGGTCAATCCTCTGGTTTTGGAGCAGGCCCAACAGAATTGCATACTCCTCAATTTCCCAGTCAAAGAGGTGCCTCCTACAAGTTAGGTTCCAACTGAAAGAGTTACCATCCACATTGAAATTCTCAGCCACCAAGGAGTCCTGATTTACAGAAATTTGATACAAGAGAGGAAAGGCATCTTTCAGACAAACTTCAGAACACCAAGCGTCCTTCCAAAATTTAATTCTTTCCCCATTTCCCAAGTTGTAACCGGTTCCTTCCTCAAATAAATTAGHRTTCTTCATTATACCTGTCCAAATGGAGCTTATCCCTCTTGAAATAGGAGAATTGGATCTCCAATCACCCCAATCCACTCCATATTTGTCCACAATCAGCTTTCTCCACCAAGCAATATTGTTTCACTGGCAATGAACTCTGATGGGCCTAAGTCAAGGAGAGGATCAAATGCAAAGAGGAAGAGGAAGCTGGTATGATTTCTCCTAGGGAAGTTTCCTATCAAGGGGTTGTGGGGACTGGTAATAATGGATTGGCTGGAGAGGAGATTAGATGCTTCACTTCACTCTTTGCTGGTCTTAACGGAAAATTGAAAGCAGAAGGCTTAGTTGCATTTTGACTTGAAGTGAGACAGGAAACTGTGAAGCCCCTTGATAACAGTTGAGTTAGCTGAAAAGTGAATAAGTCATTAAGTATGGGGTGGATTCCTAGTGGCTGTCATTTTAGGCCATTTCACCCACTAAGGAGCTTGTTCAGTAGAGGTTCCTTTTTTTTTTTTTGATAATTTTCAGTAGAGGTTCTATTGAACACACATGATTTCTCAAGCAGAAGATGGTGGGCCATGTTTCCTTGTATAAAATGGAGAAGTCAATAATAACGTCTCTGATCTCTTCTTCATTATCCATCAAACTACCAACCACCCAGAATCACTTTGTTGTATTCTCCCCCTGGCAATTGCCATCTTATGGAAAATTCTCATATTAGTATTACCTTCTTAAGCCGTTTCCCTTGAGCTCACTGCTGCCACATCAAATCCTCCTGATAAGTCACCCAATCATGGATATATTTTGCACTCTGCTCAGTGTTTGTTTCCTCTTATGCCAGTACTCTACATTCCTCCATCCTGTCCAGGTCTGCTATGATGTCTACTAGCTCCTCTTTTTGTCTCTCTATAGCCCTCAGATCCACTTTACTCTAGAATTTTAGCTCCAGAGCCTTACCTTGCATACAACTCTCTATCAAGATAGGGCCTGTTTGGCATGTCTTTCCGCGTGGTCTTTTGGCTGTTTACAAGCCAGGCAGACTGATTTTCAGTCTATTCCCGTTTGGTTCGCGAAGATCTAGCCGCCGAAAGCCATAACGCCGAAAAGACGCGAGACATTTTGGGCTGATTTCGGGAAGTCAAAATGAAGCTTTTCACGTCTTTTGCGTTTTATTCTCGTGCAGAAAGACACGGAAAGACGCACAGAAAGACGTGTATCTGCCAAACTAGCTTCAGGCTGCTCAGATCTTCATGCAAAAGCTCAATGTGTCTTTTGACTGTCGGAGCTACCAGAAGATCTTCCCAAAAAGACTTGCCAAACGAGCCCATAATTAACCCTTTAATACAACCCTCTACCCCACTTAATAGAATTCAGAGTTCTATGAACACGCAGAGATGGGATACCAAGGCACCTTGGTAATTTTTTGGGGTAATAAAAATAAAATTTATTAAAAAAACGAGAAATACAAGGAAGGTGGCCGACAGTCACCTGAGAAAAAGAAAGAAAAATACATCACGACTCCCAGCCATAACTCCAACCCATTACAAGCATAACACAAAAAACATAGCACCCAACTCTCTGACCCGAAATAGAACTCAAACTTTCAACTAAGCCTTGACACTAACCAAAAATCCCACTCAAACTCCACTTTCAATTATCCAAGGCTCCAAGCTCAAATGAAATATTATTCATCAGATGAAACAGCAATACCAAACCCCTCACCAAACCAAAAACCAGCTAATAGAAAAGTACAACCAGTCAACTTAACCATCAAAGTACTTGCTCCAATGCTCATCTTTTAGACATTAAGCAAGGACCTCTCTAACTCCTCTTACAGTTCACCTTTTTTTCTTCACTTTCTTGATTGGACCAACCCCAAATAAACCACTTTTCGATCTGGAAAACACTTTTGAGATCTAAACACTTCTGAGATTTCTCTGACTTGTGAAACGTCTCACTGCCAAAGAAATCTTCTTGAGATCCTTTTTTTTTATGAATGAGTAAGATTTTATTAAACCAGCAAATAAGAGTTACAGGCAACCCATGGAAAGGCACGAGGTGCAACCTTTCCTTTAAAAACTAGTTACAGAATTATAGGTTCAAAAGAAATTACACAGAAGCCCAAAATAAAGTAGCCCGAGAAACCCTCTGTTTTGCAAGTGAATCAGCCATTGAGTTTGCTGATCTGCCTACCCACTGAACTCTGATTGTCATATTCCTTGTTAGCCATTTAACCTTTTTGAGAAGACCTCTATAGCCCCAGATCACGGAGTCCGGATCCTGCAACCAACCCACTATCACCTGGGAGTCCCCTTCAATAATCAGATGCTCTATTCCTAGCTGGTTTGCGAGCTGGATTCCTTTCACAGCAGCAAGTAATTCGGCCCTTATAGAGTCTCCCACACCCACAGGACCTGAATACAATGATATAATACTACTGCTTTTGTTTCTCAGCACTCCTCCTATACCTGAAGGTCCAGGATTACTTCGGCTACTCCCATCAAAGTTCAGCTTAATAAACTCCTCCCCAGGTGGCATCCATTCAGTGTTCTTGAGATCATTCAGAACCCCAGAATGCTTGTTGATCCTTTCTAACTCCAAGATTGCGTTCAACTCAAAAGTCTGATATGTTTCTGAATTTTCGTCTTCTTTGTCAGTGTTCTTTACACTTCCAACAGGCCTCAATCTTTCCTGAACCTCTTCTGCCATGAGGTTATAATTTCCTTCAGGTTCTACTCCAATCTTAACCCCAGGATTTCCAAATTTCTCTTCTTGTTCCTTGAACTTTTTCCTAGAAAATTCCTCCTCTCCTAAGAAGAACAAGCCCAAAGACTTTCTCACCTTTACCTCTGTATTCACCACAGTCTCCAACTCAACTGAACCTTCAATTGCGTGGGTTTTATCAATAGGAACATCTTCTTCTTCACTTGAATTAGTTTCTTCATCATCTTCACCTTCAATGTCAATATTATCCTGTAACAGTTTAGTTCTGTACTCTCTCCTTGGTTAAGCTTTTGAGCAACACACTGTGCCAATGTCTCCTTTCCTTGCTTCTTGAAATCCTTCCTTTAAAATTTCTTCATTCCCTTGACAAGTTAAGTTCTCCTCAACTCTATCTCTTTCAAACTTCTTGTCTGATAGACTGATACCCCTGCTCCATATCCCTTATGACTATCCCTTGGCAAGTCGAGTTCTCTTCTAATCCATCTCCTTCAAACTCTTTGTCTGATACCCTTACTCCATACCTCTTCAAATCTATCCCTCCAAACCCGGTTTTGTATATTCGTCACCTAAGCAACTTCTATTGTTGGAAGTAGACGATTCCAATTTCCTATTAAATGTAAGACTGGAGTCCAAGGTTCAAAATATCAATACACCCTAATATGCCGGATGGTGCATATTGGGTGTTTCAACCACACACATTCCTTTTTTTAGTTTTTTATTCAAAAATTAGTCAGGGTGATCAGTTTTAATCCTGCCTAACCTCTGAAATTGGTCAAAATACCAAAAGCCTCATATTTGAAGTATCGGGCGCTTGCCGATACAATATTGTTCGGGTCATGGTTGAGTTGACATTAAATGCCATGTGGCTGCCCAGACAGCTTGGCCACATCGGCACCGCCCGGCCAGCTCCACGACATACACCGACTCCGCAGCCATGACCGCGCTATGCTATCTCTGTGGCCCCCTACCTTATCCTCTCAGCCATGTCAGCCCCACGTCACGCGGATAAGAACAACCAAGAACAAGAGGAGGGGTGAGGACAACTCCGCTGGGGATTAGGACTCTATCCCAAAGACCTCGGTGGTTAACCTCATCCCAGCAACCCTGGAAGCCTAATCCGACCAGGACACGGACCTTCGGCTATAAAAATGTATCTCCCGCTCAAGGTAAGGGATTCCAACTTCTAGCACCCATACTGTTCTCTTGCTCGGACCAGCACCCTCATTGCTCGGCCCGACCGTCCTCCACCTTCTACTGACTTGGGCGTCAGAGTGCCTACCCGGGGGTAACCCCTCGGGCCTCTGACTTCCTTTCTTGATCACAGGTCTTGAAGCGTGGCTCCGTCCTTCCACCTTGGCTCTGCCCTGTTGGCAAGGACTATCTGATATGCCTGATACAGAGCGTATTGTATCGAAATTTGAACCTTGAACTGGACAATATAGGTTGCTAGAACATAATATCTAAATTCCTTTTAACTTTGGGTGTGTGAGGAACCATAAAGGAGAACATTGAAGAAGGTGAGATAGAAGAAGTTTGAAAAGAATCCAGAGTGAGGATTAAATAAGAAGATGATCAGGACCTACAACTCAGTAAAGTGTTGCATTGAACTTTAGTTGGTAACTTTGATACTCCGACTATTGATCCAAACGAAAAAAGATACTCCAACTGTCTATCTGTGCTCTTACCCAATAGAGAATATCAGTTCAAAGTTGGGACTTCAGCTAAGTCAATTATTGTGACCATCCTACGTAATGGAGCCACCTTTTCTTTTAATAATTCAATGCCAAGCATACATGAAATATAAAGTTCTAAGCACTTGAGCTTCTTATGATATTGTGCCTTAGTTTTGAGTAGAATAAGGAATGGGTTTTGTAATAGGACACCATTTCTGATGTGGATTTCAAACAAGCACTTTGGTTACAAAAGTTCTTTTTCTGCAAATAAATGTTTTTTTTTTCGATAAATGAGTATGATTTATTAAATCAGAAATATGAGACAATACAGTAGACCCAAGAGGAGGCACGAGTTGCTACCTCTTCTAACAAGTATTACATCAAATTAAAAACAGAATTGACCAGAATTAACCAGAACTAGCATTACAAAGCAGCCCAAAATAAATGTTCCCTTGAAGCCCCTTGCTTAGCTAACCCATCCACTAAGGAATTTGCTGATCTTCCCACCCAAAGAAAGGTAACAGTCATGTTTCTTGTGATCCAGTTGACTTTCCTTAACGTATCTCTATGTCGCCACATAGCTGAAGCTGGTTCTTTGAGCCATCCCACTACAATCTCAGAGTCCCCTTCAACTACCAAGTGCTGAACTCCTAATTGTTCTGCAATTTGAATACCTTGCACCGCCGCTAATATCTCAGCTATATTAGAGTCTCCTATTCCCACGGGGCCTGAAAACAATGCTGATATTTTGCTTTCATTATCTCTCAGCACCCCTCCTATCCCCGATGGGCCTGGATTTCCTTGGCAACTTCCATCAAAATTCAGTTTTACCCATCCTTCAGGTGGAGGCATCCACACTGCAGATTTCCTGTCCTTCTTTGCATGACTGTTAGCCACCACTATCCAATTTCTCCAAAAATCATCAAGGAGAATGTATAAAATAAGTCCATAGTTCTTAACCAATGGATGGCCCTAGTTAAGAAACATTCCACAACAGCTTGAGAGCTTCTTTCCTCCCCCTTAAAAACCCTTGCATTCCTTTCTTCCCAGATTGTCCACAAGGCGGCTGCTCTAATACATCACCACATTATTTTCCTCTTTTTATAGGCCACACAAAAAAGGAGGGATCGAACAGCTGACTTAAACCTGTGGTCAGATTCCACCTGCACCCAAACAAAGAGAAAATCCAACTCCAAATAGCACTAGAAAATCCAACTCCGCATTATTTTTCCTCTTTTCTGCAAATTGAATGGTTGTATTTAGGGGCCATTACTTGGTGTAATGGTAAACTGTCAGGCTAGCAAGCATGGAAACGCAGTTTAGAGACTGAGAGAGACCACTTTGTGCAAAAAAATATGCCAAAGGTTAGTTCCATATCCACTCTCCCAAGCCCCTAGATAGCGGGGACCAACATTAGGCAATGGCCTTTTTAACTGAATTGTTATAATTGTAAAATTAAACCAAATGTTCTTACCAGAAGAATTGTTCTCTGCTTAGAGGAAGATTACCTAACTCAAGGCACATATGGTAATGTGTTGCTGATTGTCTACCAAAAAATGGAGTTGTTCTCCAAAGAAGCTTTAGTGACTGAAAATATTAATGGTAACCATATAACAATTCAGCGAGGATCTAGATATTTGAAGAACCAAAAATGCACATTCTTTTTAATAACCTTGTAGATTGTGCCTCTTTTTTACTGCTATTTATTATTTTTTCAGTGAAAGGTTCTCAATCAGTATTGTGTCTCACTCTAAAACTGTGAAACATCGAGCTTGTTTCTATGAACCTAAGTTCTAAAACCACCAATGACACTTTTCTATTAAAAAAACCAGATTCGAAACCAGTAACTTGACCATCAATAACTATTCTATACCGAGGGAAAAACTTACTGAACACCAGAATTCAGGGAAATTTTCTAATTAAAGGAAAGAAGACCCAAAAAGGAAGAAAAAGAAATGCCAACATTAGCAATAGCCACAACAACGTTTTAGGGGAACAGTCGATGGTGAGAGATTCAAACAAGAAAATGAAAAAAAAAAAAAAAACAGTGATGGAAAGGGAGAAAAAAGAACACTGACCGATTCATAGAAGAATATCGACAAGACGAACTCGAACGAGTCGGAACAGAAAATCTCTTGAGCAAGGCTGGAGGTTTGGAAACGGCAGTGAAGGACGAAAGAGAAGACATTTGTTGTCTGTGACTCTGTACTTCGCAGCTGAGAAGCGAGGACACATACATCCATGAAGACCGAAAGGGTTATGGTGGGAGGGTGGATGGTTTTTCGATTGTTGTGAATTTACTGAAATGACCCTCGAATTTGATGCATCTTGCTTCCATCGTGGCAGAGCTCGAGACTCGAGGGTTGACTCAGCCAACCGGCCCATCAGTTTTACAAGAACAAAATAAGAACTTCTCGCTTAGGCCCAACCAGCAAAGGCGAGGGGTTTTTGTATCGTCGTCGTTGTCGAAGCAAAACCATTAACCTGAGAAGAAAAGAATGGCGAGGTCGACATCCAAGGATACTCAAGCTCTCTTCCAGTCTCTTCGCTCGGCTTACGCTGCTACTCCTACAAATCTCAAGGTCTCTCTCTCTCTCTCTCTCTCTGGGCGTCCATGTGTAAGAAAGTCAGCATCAAGATCTAACCTAAGCCGTTTTATTGCAGATCATCGATCTCTACGTGATGTTTGCGATTTTCACAGCGTTGATTCAGGTATCCTTGTCTTCTCTCTGTATAGACATTGAATCTGCTACACTGATGTTTCCACACTTAATTGAAGTGTTCGTATCTATCTGTATCTGTAATTCTGTATATTTAGTTGGTTAATGTTTGATAATTTATTCTTTTCCTATGATGTTTGAACTTTGAAATGCCAATGTTCTTATAATCCGAATGTCCAATACTAGATCGATAACATCCTTAAACCTCCCTTCAACCTACGCTTTCTAGTTATGTTAAGAGATATTTTTTGGTATTTTTTTCATGAATTTATGGTAATTGTTTAGTAATTATGGTTGCTTGGTACATTTTTATTTCTTTGTTTAATATATTGCAAGCTCTGGTTCATTTTTTTCTTTATTTTGTGAATGTATGATTAACATTAGTGATATTACGCTTTTGTGGTACTAAAATGAGCTCTTGACAAGAATGTTAGATTTGGCTGAACCATATCCCTAATCTGGAGGGCCAATTACAAGTCCACATCTACATTTCATCTACATTTCAAGTGTTTCTTTAAGATAAATAAAAAAAGAAAAATTATTAAAAAAGGATAAGCAGCATACATCGCCAGGTGATGAGTAATCGCCCAAGATCGCCCGTCAAACCCCTTAAAACCGACCACAAAATCTAAGCCAATTACAACAAAAAAAGGAAACCCAGTTCAACCCACCCCAACCCCTCAATCCTTGCCCAAACAACATACCTCCAACTCGTTTAGAAGAACCAGCCCTAATTTCTTCCCCTTTCCTCAAACTCCTTGTTCACTGTCCTTATCATCCCTTCCCTTCTCCAATTACGTGAAAGCTTTTTTGCAAATTCTTCTGTTCCCAAGAAAAAAGACCCATAATTTTGCTCGCTTGCACCTCCACTTCCAACCTAATTTTCTTCTCAACATACTTGATCCAGAATTTGATCATCACCACTGCCTTGCAACTCTGAACCTTCCTCCTGATCTGAATCAATCTTAATATGGCCTGATTCTAGTTCCCCAGGTTGTGTTTCAATAGGAACTGAACCCCCCATCTTCAAAGAGGTTTGTTGTGATGATCCTTCATCTTCGCCACTACTATTTTTAGCTTTGATTTTCGCCCTCTTCCTTTTATACATCCTTTTAAGTTTGTTGCAAGGACCTGCTCCAAAGAGACCATCTTTCAGCTGAGAGAAAACTTTTGTTACTTGAACTAACCATTGCTTGGTCCCTTTAATCTCTTTGACTTCAGAGGGATTTTACTTTTGATTTTATCCCCCTCTTACCGCACCATCCATACAGACTTCTGGTATCTTTCTCCCTTGCTATTATGATTTCAACATAATTCCTCACTTAAGTTAATTCCTCAACACCTTCCAAACACGCATTTCTTCCCCCACAGTTATCTTCACAAACCACTATTTAACTCTGAAGGAATGGTTCCATCTAACACCAATCTCCTTTCAGTTTCTTTGGAATCTTCAACACCCCTTATCTCAGTAACCCAACTGCTACTGTCCACCTCATAGCTGATTTCTCTCTTATTTTCAACTTTCCTGTTTTTTTCTGGCACCCATTAGAATCACCAAATCCATCTACCACAACCACTGCAGCCCCCAAATCACATGTAATGATAGCGGCCTCCCCATCACTGCCAGTAACTCTAACCTCATTGCCAACATTTCGAGGGTCCTTCAAAGAGCTATCTTCAGAAAGAAAGTAATCAGAAACTTCCTCCAATGAACCGCACTGCAAATGAAACTTTGACTCGCCTGCCCTCTTCCAAAACTTCTAGCCTTTTCTCCAGCCCAGTCTTTTCCTGGCACCATCTTCAAGCTCTCTGCCATCTTGTTCTTTAAGTTTGATCCACAACATCCACCACTGTCCTTCACATTGACTGGATATAAAATATTATTTTATGTGGCCTAATTGCAGTATGCTCTGTGATTTTGATTTAAGTGAATCTGAATGGGGGAGAGGTGATTTCTAAGCGCAAATGCTACAAAATCGCGCTATATTGAAGGCATTAAAGCACATGTATGATTCAAAGAAAAGTAGGAGGCATGAGAAACTTCCTGAAATCCTTGTGAATATAGTTCCAACTTCCAAAAGAAAATAGAACCTGTTAGCCTCCTTGAAACTATCTCACTGGCAAAGATGTCTGCTGAAACATCCTGGCAGTCATTTCACCTTGAATGGCCCAAATGGTGGTTAAGGGCATAATGCTTCCTAATGCCTTTCCTATTTTGATTAGTTTCCTAAGTTGCCATTTTTCATGACTCATAAGTATCTTTGACTGATTGAGGAAGACATCAGTTGTTGCCAAAGACTTCCAAAAAATGAGAAGTAGTGGTACTATACTTAAAAGGGTAGCACATTGCACGAGGCTCCCACCAGGGGCAACCCAAGTAGTGGTACTGAACCTGCAATATGAAATGGTACTGGTGTCTGGTACCATATATGTATCTGATATGACACCAGATACTCCATGAGCACTTCTGGAGTATACTTTAGAGCATTAACATTTTTAAAATATGTACAGTGATTTGTTTTAACAAATAGTACTAAAAAATATGTATGTATTAGAAATTTAATGAAATTCAGAAAGATACAAGTATCATAATTGATGCTTAGCTTCAGGAACTGGAAATAAAAGAATGATGTAAGCATATTAAAGGGGATATAATACTCATACCTCTATCCAGAATCTTTGGAAATGGAGGGTTAATCTCTGTTTCCTGTATGCAACTATGCATGCTGCAAATGATATCTGTTTGTCTGAATTCTTTGCTTTTATAATTAAATCAAGTCTGAGAGAAGCTACTTGTGCAAGAAAATGGCAAAAGTTAGGTCCATATTCAGTCTACTAAAATTCAACTTTATCTTGTTTTGTGTGTTTGTGTTTGTAGGGAGGGAGGGATCCATGGAATTGAGTATCTGCTCCTTGACCCTTGTTTACCAACATCTCTGCCACCATAGTCCATCTTCTCATAATATTATATATAGGGACCAGAACACTAGATTGATGATTGTTCAAGAATACTTTAGAATTCCTTCCCTCCAAAATTGTCCACAAGATGGCTACTCTTGTACATCTCCACAATATTTTTCCATTTTTCTTCTTCAGGGAAAAAAATTTTGGCTGAAACAAAGCATTCATGATAATCCCATTTTTATCATGTTGCAAGGTTTTTTTTTTTTGGATGCCAGTTGCAAGGTTTTCTGATCTATTCATATATTGCCAAAAGCTTTTGCAGAATGCAAATTTAGAAAATATGAGCAGTTAAAAAAGTATAATGCGGATATAAAGTTTAAATTAGTATTGATGATTTTTAGAAGTATCCAATAAATTCCGGGGAGAATATTTTTGGGATTCTTTCGATTTTCTTGAACGATGCCTTGATTGCTATGATTGAGAATTGATTGCTTCCTGGTGAGCATCATCTATCTACCTATGCATCATCCAGGTCTTAATAATAATTCTTCATGTTCATTTCCATGATGAGCAGGTTGTTTACATGGCAATTGTTGGATCTTTCCCATTCAACTCTTTCCTTTCAGGAGTCCTTTCTTGTGTGGGGACAGCAGTCCTTGCTGGTAAGGAAGTAGTTGTGATGTTTTTGTCGGAATAGATGCTTATTTAACTGGAGGTTGAGAATGGTTTGTTTTGTTGCAGTTTGCCTCCGCATTCAAGTTAACAAAGAGAACAAGGAATTTAAGGTGACATTCTTCTCCTTTTATAAGAGGAATTGGTAGTAACATCTAACATTTAAATCCCATGCCCTTGTAGTTGTTGACATTGCTTCCACCATCTGCAGGACTTGCCACCAGAACGTGCATTTGCTGATTTTGTGCTCTGCAATTTGGTGCTCCATCTGGTGATTATGAATTTCCTTGGATAGGCAGTTTCTCTGAGGCTTTTAGGTTTTTATATAGTTCCAACTTTTAAGGTGGATGAGTATGCTGTTGTAAGACTTTCATGGTTGCTGGATCATCAGTTCCATTTCTAATTGAAACTTCTAATTTTTTCTGGAACCAGATGGAAAAGTTTGAATTTGGCATTGACATGAAATTCTTGTATTCTCTTTTCTTGTTTTCAACATGAAGCTAATATACACTTACTAGCTTGCATGTATGAAAGCCTCTTGAAAAGGTTCCTTTTTATCCTTTCTAGCGGGGGAGTGAGGAGGATGACCACTGGTGAACCATCCATCTTTGGTGCACAAAGATCTGGTTAGTATGATTGGTAGTATCTTTAGCTTCTCTTTTCGGAGTTGATGGAACCAACCAATCCCATGTCTGAAGTGGCATAATTGGCATATTAAGGGCCCATTTGGTTCGCGGGAATAGGGATCTAAAATTGGAATCAGAACGGACCATTCCAATTTCAACTGTTTGGTTGGGTGGAATCGGAATTTCATTCCCATTCCTTGTGGAATGGCATTCCCCCATTTGAGGGAATGGCTATTCCCTCCCCCTCCCTGGGGAAGGAAATACCACTCCATCTCATTCTCATTCCTGCTGGAATGGCATTTCCCCATTTGAGGGAAGAGGGAATGGTCATTCCCTGCCCCTCCCTCCGGAATAAATACTCATTCTTGCTGATTCCAATTTCCATTCCTATTCCTGTCTGAACCAAACAGACCACCCTAAGTTCCATCCTCAAGCAGGAATAAGCAACTGGAAGAAAGAAACAGGAGATTCAGTATCCTTGGTTATGTTTGTCATTAAGAGCTTTAACTATTTTTTCAATATGCAAAATGTAAGCTTAGTCTAGCCACATGGCTGGGTTTGCTGTCTGCTGAAACAAAATTTGCTCCATGAACGGGTGGGAGATAAGAGACGGGTGGCTTTTCACTTTCATGACTCCCAAGTCCCAACCTCTCACACAGAAGGAATCATGTTTGGAAGTTAATTTTTTCACCCAGTTCTGAATTTTCAAAATTAGGCGCTATTCCAGGCTTCGAGCAACTCAGCTATCGTTTATTTGTTTAGACTTTTGAATTAATAAATCCGTGAAGCAAAAAGTTCACATGCATTGCAATAAAACTCATACCTAGTTTTACAAAATTGGAACTGAAAATTGAAAAGCAGATAGCTGTTGCTCAAACCACTTGGACCAGTGGCAGTGGGTCAAAAATTAACTAGTACTTCGCTGCAACACTTGTTCTTCTACAGCAACAGAGAATACAAAACAGAAAACAAGACCTTAAAGACACACCAAGACCAAACCAAAAACGCTACCCAAAACTTGTCAAAACGGAAGTCTTCACGCAACACCTTTGCCATCCACTTTGGCTGTGCTATGCCTATGTCATAAAAAGAATTCGGATTCAAATCCGGTTTTCACCATGAGCTGCCGAGTTTGCATTTCTTGGATTTTTGATCCATTGGAATTGAATAGGCCAATTCAAGCAGAAATGAGATAGTCTTCTCGCAAAAAGGTTACTTTCAATTGGCATGAGTTACACGGGTGCAACAAGCTGTTTATCAAATCAACTGAAGATATCACTATCCACTATGATCATACTTGCCTTCAACACCCTATACCCGGTGGCAATGAAAAAGAAAAATAGCTACTGCTTGATTGATCTTCATCTGGTGAAGAGTCTGCGGATCTCAGCATCCAGGTCTGAGATCCCTCCATTGTTTGCCTGTGAATCAAAGTAATCACATCATCTAGATTCGCTTCTTTATCATTGAAACAGAAATCATTTCTATCATTCCAAATTTCCAAACATGCCTTGATGCCTTCCTTGGAATACTTCATTTTGACCAGATTTTAAACCAAGCAATCGCGTGTCTGCTTTATAACGCTTCAACAACATTTTAAACCAAGTAGAAAGGAAATACACTCATCAATTTGACCAGAGTTTGTACCAATTCCTGGGCCAAAGTACCAAACCATATGCATCTTGCCCATCACAGAAAACCAAAAGCATGAAGGTATGTTAGGTCTGTTGTGGTCTCAACCCTATAGAATCAATTTTGAATCAGATCTTGTAGGATAAAGATCCATAGTAACAAGACCTAGAGCCACCCAATTATTAATTGAGACTATGGCATGAGATATGATCAAATAAGATACAAGTATAGTTGAGAACCATACTTTTAACATGTAATATGATAGAACTCACTTGTTTGTTAAATTGGCACATTTGGACATCATGTCATCATAATGTTACATATATCATGAGAAAAATAGATAATAGATAGGGGTATTTTTGTAATATAAACATATACGTATTCTATACTATCTATATTATATATAAATCAAGGTTGTCCACGTCACCCTTCATCTCATTTCTCCCTTTCCACTTTCGTGCTTCTTCCTTAATCCTCTCTCTCTCTCTCTCTCCTTCCTCCCTTCCCCCTTCCCAGTCCCAATTTATTTAGATACTGATTCAAATAAATCTTAGTTGATCTGGTTTGGCTTGCCAAACCTGTTATATAAATTTGTAGAAAATACATCTTGAAAATAAATATTAGAAACACTATTAATTAACATGTTTTTGTTAAAATATTAATTTAAATGACAATTAAATTTTTAATAGAATATTTTTTCTGCTATATTTTAAGAAAATATTTTGATAAAAATTTACTAACTTTTTATATAAATCATGTAAAAATTTCACTGCTAATTTTTTAAAAGTATTTTATGTGTTCATGAATTGTCTCCTTTGTCTTATAACTCAATTGTGATGAACTTAATTTTTTTAAGCATTGAGTGGTATATCCAATGGATTACATATGTCGTTTCCCCAACTTTGTTAATTTCCCAAGAGAGGAAGAAAGTAGAAGAATAAATTAACCAAAGGCCCCAAAAATCGCTATGCATAAAAAAAAAAAAAAAAATGAAGTTCATGGGTTGAGTTATTTGAATACCCGAAAGCTATACAAACAATTAGCTCCGATTACTAACTCATATCAAATAGGCCAATCTGGTTAGATCAATTTAACCCAGCTATGCAATTTTCAAAACAAAAGAGTTGGGTCGAGTAATTTGAAAACTCGAAAAGCATCCGACCTGGCTATCTTAATTAGTTCAACCCAATTATGCAATTTTGATAACAGAAAGCGTAAACAATGAAAATTTTAATTAAAAATAATTTTGTTAATTAGAAAATAATAGAAAATTAGAAAAATGGAAGATAACAGAAAAAATTAACAATTTTATTATTAGATAGAAAACCAATAAAATAAGGGAAATATTCTAAAAATTCAGAAAATAACAAAAAACTTAGAAGCTTATTTTTATTTAACTAATAAAATAATAGAAAATTTAAAATTTCACTAAAAATAAAAGAATTTTTTAACATATTAAAAGTATAGTTTGTCAAGAAAATATCAAGTAATTAAAAAATAAAAATAATGGAAAATTAAAAACCAACAACTTACTTTACATGATTAACTTATTAAATAAGTCATTAATTAAAATAAATTAAATAACTTAGTTTTAAACTATGAATAAAAATTGTTAGCAAACTTAGAAAAAAATCTATTAGTTAAAATTAATACAAATTAATTAAAATTTTAAAAATAAATTTTAAATTTAACTTAATAAAAAGCAACTCCCTCTCCCTAATTCCTTATAGATTTTTAGTTTTTTTTTTCTTTAACTCATTGGACAATAAATAACCTAGGATTAATGTTAAGATGGACAGGATTTAGCTTTGCCCAATTACAAGTCTCCTAAAACTCGTGTAAATGTCACTTAACAAAGTCCGTGCATTGCATTTAAGAATAATAAAAATCAACATACATTCATCTAATACCATATAACCTAAAAATAGTTTGAATTTGACGTGATACCACTTGCCCAATTGATATTACTTGCCACAGTTTCTTTTAACAATACCGAGAATCTATCCATTGATAATCACGTTACACTAGCGAGGGGCGTCCGTGAATAATACCGAGTAAGTGGGAGAATAATAAAAACAATAGAAATTATAGTTGTGGAATCCGAATCCGGATCACTAATGTAATGAACCAATTAATCTATGAAAAATATATATTAAGAAATACAAATTTATTAAACATATAATTCCTAAGAGAAATACAAATTTTATATGTATCAGTGTGGTTAACAGTGACGTGCGTTAACCACATTCAGTGGTCTGGCCTTGGATCCAGCTTCTACGGCACCTTCCTCAACATCGTTCTGCTGCTTGATGTTGTTCAAAACGTCTTTAACTATACTGATCACTTGATCAGTGGTGTGGATCCAATCCCCAACCCAACAAGGAGCAGGACATCATATTCTTTGTAGTCCTGTGCTGGGGCTCCATATGGGCCATCGATCAACAGTCTCGGCAACCTGCTTGATTAACAGACATCATGTGAGTTTCAGAGTTAAAACTGAAAATTAAAGCATAGAGAACACTCATGGAGTACTGAAGAAAACTTTACCTCGGAGTGTTGGAGCCTGTTTTAATATCAGTTCGCAGAAGCCCACTCTGGTCTTCGGTTGAGGATTGACACACCTGCACGTGTTTAGACATGAAAGATTATTAATTGCTTGCTAAAACACACATACACACAGACTGAGAGAGAGAGAGAGAGGAGTTAAGCTGCAATCGAATTGATCATGCATCATGTACCTGAGAAAATACAGCTTTGAGCTGCGATGTCCAGTCACCTAATGTGCGAATATGAATGCTCAGATAATCATCTCCGGGGGCTGTGTAATAGGGAAAGGATGCCTGAAAAATAACATAGCAGAAACAAAGCATGATCATCAGTAACAACTTCAACCAGCTACAGAATTTTTATATGGTAGAAGCCAAACAGAATTTTGCTCAATTATGTGTGTACCATTGCAAAGAAGAAACAACGGAACAGTTGACAAAGATATCTTGCCCACTTCTGTACTCAAATCCTTGGGGTTAAGACATGTGGAGTACCAGCACATATCCTGGACAGACGGCAACCTGAGGAATTGAAAATGAACAGAAGTATGCACAAGGAATTAATGAATCTCCATTGTAATATCTTGCAATTGATAATATAATCTTGGGTTTTATGAGATTTGGTCTTGGGAGTACGAGAAGGCATTGAAATCA